TATCCAAAACCCACTAAACCAAAGCGAAATCTAGCTCAATCACGTTAAAAATTGAGTTTGTCAGTGGAGCGTGTGTAGTAGAGCTGACAAAATGGCTGAAAAGCTCAATTCTATTCAAAGATTTGCTGAATTTTGGGCTCAGAAAAACATGTTTTTAAGAAATTACTTTTTTTTACCTTTCTTTTTTAAAACTTTCTTTTATATTCTTTTTCCTTTTGAAAAAAAAAAGAGAAACAGCCACAACAACATATAATCGTTCAGAACAATCGTTTGGTCACCAATACATTCTTACATAAAACAAAAATGATGAAAGTATATATATATATATATATATATATATATATATACAGTATATATATCAGATGGTACATTGGTCAATAAACATGTGATGAAGTCCATCTTTCCCAATACTGCAAATACTTATCCATCTATAGGTTTAAAGCGAAAGTCATCCTCTCCATGTTTTGGACACTGGTCATAATCTCCTGCCATTCAGCCTTCAAATTGTAACCTTCGTGTTACCGCTTTCTTGCTAGCTGCTTATAATATCTTACTTGTCTTTCAACCTCAAATGAGCTGTTTTTGAGTAATTCCAATTTACTCAAGCTTATTTTAAAAACTCATTTGATCCATAATTATCCATATGTGCCATATACCACATTAAAGCTGAGATTCTCCCATTTTCAGAGAAATATAAAAGATTTAAGGTAAAATTCTTAAAGTTTTGTAAAACAGCCCGATTTATTATGATTTAGCATGCCCAAAAAGCTAAAAGCATAAAAACATTTAAACGAATGGGGGTGCCAGAAGTGCTTGATTGTAGCAACAATTTGTCAATTCAGTGGAATGATTTGTATACATTTATTAGTAAAATGAAATATCAGTGAAAAAAAAAATCAATAATATGTATATGTGTATGTATATATATGTATGTCAATAATAAATCAATTAATTACCATATAACATTACGGTATCATTTCTCAAAATCTCAAATCTCATTTTTTATGCTTTAGCCTACATATATTGGTAACAAGACAGTTGAAGGCACCCATTGACATCCATAGGGAAAAAAAATACTATGGAAGTCAATGGGTGTCGCCAAATGCCTGGTTACCAATTTTTATTTTATTTCTAGTATATGTTAAACAGAAGAAACAAACTTATTCATGTTTGGAAATAATTTGAGGGTGAACTATCCCTTTAACAGGTCATTCTCAAACATTAAACACGTTGTAAAATTGTCTAGATGCAAAATATTTGATAATCTCATGGATTCTATCCTCAAAATATACTGTATACTTGCAGTTGCAAGAGAAACCTTTTTCCAGTTCCACGTCTTGACTTAAATAAACACACAAGACCTCTTTTGCAATTTGTATGGCTATGACTACTTTGACGCTCTTTTACTCATATTTAGATTTTGCGACTTTAGCCGGGGTTTCACAGGCGGGGCTTGTGTAATCACAACGAAAAGTACAGTTCTACGAAATCCCAAGGAAGAACAATTTACCATGTCAAAGTGAAGGAATTCTTTTTGCACCGACCCGCCCAGGGAGCGCAAGTTCATTTCCTAGTTTACCGACGCGTCTGTGGAGGGGAAAATCCGCTTTGCGCGGGTGCAAAATACGAATGATACCTGGCTGCGTTGGTGTACAAAGTCATTTGCGCCGGGTGGAAAATAGGGCCCATGGTGTTCTGGGTAACAGTCTGCTGTGCAGTCTACGATTACAAAGGTGCTGCAAGTGAACACACTTTTGAAAGCCTCAATAATAAACGGGACTTCATGGACTTCACAGATGCGCATTAGCGAAGTCCACGTTAGCTGAGACATGTTTTTGATAGTGGTGTGACTGTGGTAAATGTTGTTTGAAGTTATTGAGTTGCTCTTAAAGTCTCATGTGTTGTTGTGGACGTTCATAATACACAATTGAGTGGTAGTGCCTATTATCTTGTGATTACAATGAAACGTTTGATTCATCTGTATGCTGGAGTGTCCCAGTCGTAAGCCACTGGTGGTCTCCTGTTTTCCCACAGTCCGCCTACATGCTGAATGGACTAGCCATGGAAAGTAGATTAAGGGGCACTGGGTGCACAGATGAAACGCTGATGAAACCTCTCAACACCATAATGGCTGGCCTGTTTCCCATGCAGAAGAACTCCAGCTCTGGCATGTAAATCCCCGTGTTGTTCATCAGATACGTGTTGAATTTCCCAACCATGTTTGAGGGGAATGCTGGAGCTTTCCAGACCCTTTCTGTCCACCTGCCACATCTTTGTGGAAATGAAGTGGGGGGGAAAACTGTAATGTTTTACTGGTAACACTTACAAGTAAACACCACTATTAAAGGGATACATCACGTCTGGAAAGATGAATGTGTATATAAAATGGGTCATTTATGTAGAAGAAATGTGAAATTATTTTAGAATTTGGTGATTTCTAGACTGAGAAAAGACAGAAAATGTATTTTTGGCTTATGTGGATGAACGACAACAACTCCCAGAATGCACTTGCTTCGCTGCCCTAGGAGGCCACGCCTACCGGTAACAGAGCGCAGTCGTTAAACAACAAGTCTAGGCAACTAGTGAGTCTCCGTGATGAGTGTGCCCGAAAATGTGTTTCGAGATCGCCCAAAATGTCCGGGGATTCGGATTTTGCTGTGGTGAGCGGGACGAGTGAGGGCTGCGGGAGAACAGCGCGAGGCCGGTGGCGTGATTACCGATGAGCCACACCTGTGAGACGCACCGGTCTCGTATCTCTCACGGAGGAGCGGAAATTTTCTTAGCAATGTTAAAAAGCACATCAACCGATCACTTGTTTAGCATTCATGTAAACACTACATTCAGATTCACCAATCACAATGAATTCAGTTAGATTGAAACAAAAGCTGTGCATGTAAACAATGAATGGAGACTGCAGAAAGCAAAAGCTAAATCCCGGACATCGACGGCTGGACATGTCCGTGAAAAAGAGGATGGTGACCCAGAACAAGAGCCTACTAGCTTAGCTTCCAAACAAAGATGGCCGACACTATGTGTTCATTCTGTGAGTGAGATCGCCCTCTATGAGCGGGTTGAGAACATGCGGGATAGTCCCTACTGACTGTAGTCTTTAGCCTCTGGACAAAAAAAATCCTCTGATGACATCATCGGAGGATTTTTTTCCAGTCAAAAAATACATAAATCTCTCATCTCAGGGGGATATGAGGGTGGAAAGCACGGTAATTTGAAAATACTACAGGTTTTCTACTAATACAAAGCTTAATGCTAAATCCTGAAGTATCCCTTTAAGCTAATAAAATAATTGATCCAGGTTCAATGGAAAAACATGCCTCCACATCCTGTTTTTGCCAAACTCCAAAAACGTACATTCAATTTTCTGCAGTTTGCAGCTGAAATGAACACTAGTATAGCAGTAAAACATCAACCTCTTTTATTCCTTTTCACATTCACCTTTTTATTCAATCACCCTGCTGGAGATTGTTTTGTGATGATGGTCAGCTGACTGTGACATCATTCCTTACTTTACATCAAGTTTTTCAATTTAATTTGCAATCTGACATTGCACACTTACATCACAAACAGCATTGTCTATAATAATGGTAACAATCTAGTTTTAATGTGATTGATTCACTTCTTTAATAGTATTCTGTAAAAACATATTTTCGTAGACATTTTGAAGAGTCTCTTAATGAACCTTTTTTGATGACATCCCAGTTTGTTTCAGATGTAGCAAACTTCTAAGTACATTTTTCAGTTATTTTATACTGAACCCGCACCTGTCAAATGTAGCTATATCATGGCCACAAATTAATAGTTCGTTCTCTTGTTTTAGTAAATCTTTGCAATGTTGAACTAATTCGCTCATTTTGATTGAACTAAAACAAGAGAACAAATTATCATTACTGCAACTTTCAGACGCCATCTTTATTTTTTACCTCAACGGTCACAGAATGGGAAGCACAGGATTGTGGGATATCAAAGGCAGCGAAGGATACATCTATGCTGCCTTCAAAAATCATTCACATGAAGGAATCTCAGGAGACAGGAAGTGACACGATCATTGGATTTGGCAGTAGAAGACGTATTTAACAGCTTTCAGACGCACACATCTTTCCCCGTATGTCATGTGACAGGCTCTCTAAAGTCAGAAACATGCTCGGAACTCTGCCTGGAAAAAAAAATGGATGCCAACGTTTTTTTTATTTTTTTTATTTCTACATTTGTCTTACAATAAGTTTCCTTTGTTGACTGTAAGTCTGACAGAAACAAGTTATTATTTTTTTCATTAACTGAAGTGCCCAGAACTGTTGATTCATAAGGGCTGTCAAACAAGAAGAATGTTCTGGAAGAATAACAGTTGCTGAGCCAGCTGTTCTCAACCGCTGTGTGTGTGTGTGTGTGTGTGAAGGACTTGAGCAAACTGCCACTGTGTGCCTCATGCCACGCCGTTTTAATGTCTGTCTGGAACAATTTTATTAAAGACTACTCTTTGAAAAACTTAAACTGCCATGGATGTGATAATAGGCAGGGAAAGAATTTTCCTTCTCTCAGGAAAGGTGTGTCTGGAATGAATTGTGGAAAAAGGGATAGGTTACGCAGCAGATGGATCATATTTATTATAATGTTTATTTATGTGCTTTAATACAATGAAGATATTGAGTGAGACAGTTACTGATTTCATTCAGTTTTTTTTTTCTTCAGATTTCACGAGCGTCTCACCGGCGTCAATTCTTTTCAGTGTTGATTTATAAAAAGACACATGATTAGGATTTCCCCAAAATCTACACTAATGAATGTGTGTTTACTTGTGGTGTGATGACAGGAGTGCGTGTGTAAATAATTGATTTTGTGCAGCTGGCTGATGGCCGTGGAAACAGGAAGACACCCGCTGATGAAATAATCTGTCAGATCCTCTTCATCAGAAAGCACCAGTCTCCTTTATGGAAGATTGATAATCGTGTCTTGATGTCATGTCATTTTGTCTTTCTTTCTTTGCACAGATTGTTGATTGGTGCTCCCACAGCCAGGGCTTTATCCAATCAGGGAGCGAACATCACGGGCGGGTTGTACAGCTGTGACATCACCACCCATCCTGATGACTGTACTCGAGTGGACTTTGACAATGATGGTAAGCAGAAATATCATCGTATAGCTTCAAAAAAATCTGTGTACCTGAGATTTAACAACTTCACAGTTGATGTCTCCTACACTCTAAAAAATGCTGGGTTGTTTTAACCCAATTTTGGGTAAAGTATGGACAAACCCAGCCATTGGGTTACATTTTTAAATGACATTTTTAACCCAATGGCTGGGTTTGTCCATATTTGACCCAAAATTGGGTTAAAACAACCCAGCATTTTTTAGAGTGTAACTTTTGTCGTGATTATAATGTGTTGTTTTTTATCGGTTTAAAGGAGAAGTTCACTTTTGAAAAAACTTTTGCTGATAATTTACTCACCCCATGTCATCCAAGATGTCCATGTCTTTCTTTCTTCAGTCGAAAAGAAATTCCAGAAATTCCATTCCAGGATTTTTCTCCATATAATGGACTTCAATGGGAACCAAACGGTTCAAGGTCCAAAAGACACTTTCAGTACAAACTGCAAACTGTTCGATCTCTGCAAACGATCGCTCATTTAATAAGTAAATAACAAAGTTTAAGTTTTATAAGCTCAAATGCTCGCCTTGATCTGTTCTGTGACGCACGTTCGTGACTCTCCTGTTTGAACTTGTTCATCAAAATGAACGAATCTTTTTCGAGTCACATGGTTCATTCAATGAACGAATGAACGAGTCATTCAATGAACGAGTCATTTGGTTCATTCAATGAATGAAATGAACGAATTGACTCAGAGAAAGATTCGTTCATTTTGATGAATGAGTTCGAACAGGAGAGTCACGAACGTGGGTCACAGTACAGAGCAAGGCGAGTATTTGAGCTTATAAAACTGAAACTTTGTTATTTTTTTATTAAATGAGCGATCGTTTCTCTAGATAAGATCCTTATTCATTGTCTGGAATCGCTTAAAGCCCTTTGAACAGTTTGCTCTTAAAGTGTCTTTTAGACCTTGAACCGTTTGGTTCCCATTGAAGTCCATTATATGGAGAAAAATCCTGGAATGTTTTCATCAAAAACCTTCATTTCTTTTCGACTGAAGAAAGAAAGACGTGGACGTCTTGGATGACATGGGGGTGAGTAAATTATCAGCAAAAGTTTTTTAAAAAGTGAACTTCTCCTTTAAATGCTCATCTAGTCAGCAGTGCCAGGATTTTTTGATAGATCTTGAAATCCTAATCGTGACTTGGTTTCTGTTCACGGTGACCATCACAGTTGATGTTCTTGTGGAGAACAAGGAGAACCAGTGGATGGGTGTAACGGTTCAGAGCCAAGGACCTGGAGGCAAGATTGTGGTGCGTCGAGAACAGAGTTGAATGCTAATGGACCATTAATTGACTTCCAGTTACACTGTCATCATTTTGACATTTTAGATGTATTATTTGTGTCACGCAATGTCACAATGACACATACTTTATCTTTCTTTCTGTGTCAGACATGTGCCCATCGCTACCAGCGTCTGTTGTTCCCGAACACACCCCAGGAGGCGCGCGACATCACTGGACGCTGCTACATGCTCAGTCAAGACCTGAGCATCGACAGCCAATCAGACGAGGACGGGGGGAACTGGAAATTCTGTGATGGGCGCACTCGGGGTCATGAGCGATTCGGGGCCTGTCAGCAAGGCTTGGCTGCCACCTTCACTAAAGACTACCATTATGTCATCTTTGGAGCACCAGGGGCGTACAACTGGAAAGGTAGGAATGACATTTGATGCAATACATAAAATGGTGTTTTTGTGTGTTTTGGGAGCAATGTTGAAACACACACACGCACACACACAAACTTTTTAGGCATAAAGTCTGGCCAACTCTGAAACTGAAAAATAACGTGCATTCTGTCCATCAAAACGTTAAAAGACACAGGTTATATAACAGAAATACACATCAGCCGTCATTGAACTGACTGTGTGTGGTCTGGGTGTGTCGAATGAGGCTGAGAGCAGGGCAGGTCATTGTTTTGACCTTTGGCATTGGTCTTACCTCATTACCAAATCATATTGCTACCATTTATTACTTATGATCGAGTTAAATAGTCATTAAAAATAGTCAGATGCATTTATATGCATTATGTTCTGAATGCATAGTGACCCCCACTGGCGAGGAGGAGCACTGCAATATTTCGCATTCACTATTTTCTTAATTCACACAATTGTATTCCCTTGTGAAAAAAATAGGTACAGTGTAACATACTTTTTAAAAATGAGTTCTTATTACAGAAATAAGAATATACTTTAGTGCAAACTGAATGTAATGTTTTTGGACACTTAATAGCAGGTTTATTGCTATTAAATGAAAATGTGTTTTAAAATTGGCTGAACTTTTGAGTGCTTTTGATACCCACAGTTTACATATTATAAGGTTAACTGAAATATACTTTCATGTAATTTCTATAGACATGTATATGCTATGTATTTAATAATAGATGTAATTGCACTTTTGTTAATGATGAAGTTAAAACTTAGTACATTAAAAATATGTATTAATAAAATAGCAAATAACCCCATACAGTTACAATCAAGTATTTAACGTGTTCTGTAGTGTTAGTCAACACATTGAAATTTGTGCACTTCTTTAAAGCATGATGAAATTACGTTTCAAAAAGTACTTTTAAATGAAACTTTTAATTTGCCAAAATCAAACAAAATCTACTCTGTTTTTCTGAATTAACTAATTAATTATCTCAGAATTACGTGACCATTTTTCACGGAAAAAAGTTTTTTGCACTGTTTTTCTGAATTAACGAGTTAATTATCTCAGAATTGTGAGATATATATTAGGTTTTTTTTTAATTAATGAGTTTGTGAGATAATCAAGTAATTAATTCAGAAAAACAGTGCAAAAACTTTTTTCCATGAAAAATTATCTTATAATTCTGACATAATTAACTCATTATTCAGAAAAACTAGTTAAAAAAAGAGTAGGGTTTTTTTAAGTGAATGCAATACGCTTCCATAGTGCACTGTTTAAAAGTGTACTTAAGTGTGATAAGAAAAAAAGTGTGATAAGAAACTATTCTCTTTTTCAGTAGACTTAAGTGGCCTTTTATTTCATGCATATTACATTATCCACATTACAATTTTTTTTAAATATATACTTTTAAGATTTGAAGTGCACATTCAATACAATTAACCACATTTTTCCCCCTCATGGTTTTGCACAATTAAATACATGTTTTCTTTCAAGCAGAACTCAAATCATTTGTTTTCCTGTGTCACAATAATCTTGTTTAGCACTCACCCCATCACATCTGTTCTCCAGGTATAGTGCGCGTCGAGCAGAAGAACAACACTCTGCTGGAAATGGGCTTGTTTGATGATGGTCCTTATGAGGTCGGGGATGAAAACCGCCTCGATCCAAATCTAGTGCCAGTACCAGCCAACAGTTACTTAGGTGAGTGTGTGTGTGTGTGTGTGTGTTTTGATGTTCATGATTTTTGTGACACTGAATCTTGCACATGTACAGGCTTCTCTCTGGATTCCGGCCACAGTATCACAGAAAAAGGGAAACTCATCATCGTGTCCGGAGCGCCGAGAGCCAATCACAGTGGTGCAGTGGTGTTTCTGCGCAAGCAAGACGAAGCCTCCACCAGACTCATGTCTGAACACATTCTGGAAGGACCAGGACTCGCGTCCTCCTTTGGATATGATGTTGCTGTGGTGGACCTAAATGGAGATGGGTGAGTGATACATCTGTAGAAAATAAATGTTGTTTCTTATGAAAAGGAGTGGGTAGATTGTGAAAAAGAAATCTGACAAAATATTCTGGGTTGCACTTTATTTTACAGTAGGTGTACTTAGTGTTCTTAGCTAAGAAAGAACTGAGTAATATAATGTTAATGTTAATACTCTAAAAATGTTTGGTTGTGTTAACCCAACTTTGGGTCAAATATGGACAAGCCCAAACGTTGGGTAAAAAAATTAATTAAAAAATATTACCCAATGGCTGGGTTTGTCCATATTTGACCCAAAGTTGGGTTAACACAACCCAGCATTTTTTAGAGTGTAATTACATGGGTTTAGTTAAGGTTCAGGTGTAGGTTCAGGGTTAGTACCTAGTTATTACCCGGTTAGCGTCAGTACTGCAATAAGTTCAAATGTTCATGAGAATCTTAATATATATATATATATATATATATATATTATATATATATATATATATATATATATATATAGCTGCAGATAATATTAATCAAATACAATGCCACTTAAGTGTACTTAAAAAGAGTACACTTTCATGTCTGTCTGTGTCTCCTAACACACTTGTTAGTGCATCTTATCTTGTCAAATTAAAAGTTTTACATTACAGTACATTTTAAATAAGTTATTTTAACAATATTTTGTCATGTTTCTTTCATGATCTTTTGACTCGCATACTAAAGCTCATGTGAATACTTGGTTATTTAACTAGTGTGTGTTTTATATAACATTTAAAGTTAATATATTTTAAATGTGCTAAATTGTATATTCATGATTATAAATGTTAAATCTAAAATATTATGAAATACTTGACTTACTTAAACTAAACTTAACATAACTTAGTAACTTAACGTAACTTAATCTTAATTTACCAGAATTCCTTCTCAGCACATTTGGCAGTGCACTTTAATCATTTTTCAAAGACGGAAGTAATAATGAAATTACTAAAAGATGTACTTAAATCCTACTTAAGTGGCTCAAAAGAACTCTGAAGGTCAGCTAATTGAATTTAATAAATATTTCAACTATAAAAAAATTAAATTTAATTACAGTACTTAAGTGTCTAAAACATTGCATTCAGTTTGCGCTTAAGTGTATTCTTTTAAAAAAAAAGAATGAAAAAAGAAAGTCGTTGTTTGGATTTAAATTGGCAAATGCTTAAGAGTCTATGACTGGATCATTATTACAGTGATTATTATGTTTCTAGCATGTTAAATGTTTGTCAACAGTTCTTCTAACCAATTGTTGGAGTGTGTAGCTTTTCACTTCTTAAACAATCATGTTGGAAGAACATCATGAACATATTCCAGGATGACCATGTCAGGATTCATCAGGCTCAAAGTGTGTAAGAATGGTTGTGAGGAGCATGAAGAATTATTTCCTCAGAGTTATTACCTTAGATTCATTGAGAGTCTTTGGCATGTGCTGGAGGAGACTTTACAGAGTGCTGGACTCTTGTATTGTCAATACAAGATGTTGACCAAAAATGTATGCACCTCTTGATGGAAATAACATCACAACATTTATTTGCATCAAGACAAGCATCAATTTTTGGTCAAGACCTTGTATAGAGAAATACTCTCAAATTTAAGGTCTGGACTCAGAGGTCCCAATTCATGTGTGAAAATGATTCTTCATGCTCCTCCCAACCATTCTTACACACTTCGCAAATGTTTGTCCATTTATTATCACTTATTTCAAAGTCTACATTCTAGAAACACTGTTTTCGTGCAAATAAATGGCCAGAACACATTAAAAGTGATCCGTTTTCAGTTAAAATGGTGTTGTGTAAGCGGCCCCTAAGTTATAACTAATGATCTTTGCAATGGAAGTGAATCATTTAAAAACAAACTTTAGTTGGACAATAACTTTATTCTAGAGCTGCTGTAAAGCCAGTTACTTTAATTTCCCGATTATCACTGAAAAGCAGCTTTGAAACAGTCCATATTGTTAAAAGTTAAATGAAGGTGACTTGACTTGACATTTAGGGGCTCTGTACTATTTCACAAGGGTGGGCTGCTAAATCATGTGTATTGTCCCTCCAGTTGGCAGGACGTTGTGGTTGGGGCACCCCAGTTCTACCAGAGAGACGAGGAAGTGGGTGGAGCTGTGTACGTTTACATCAATAAAGCTGGAAGGTGGAAGGACGTCACTCCTACTCGCCTGAATGGAACCAAAGACTCCATGTTTGGACTGGCTGTGGAGAACATTGGAGACATTAATCGGGATTCTTTTGAAGGTTCAATGCAGGAGTGGATTTTTTTTAGTTTAGGACGGAAAATATTTGAATTCGTTCGGTTGTTTAATATTCTTCCTGCTTGCTTCTCAGATATTGCTGTGGGAGCTCCATATGCAGACTCAGGGTTCGGTAGCGTGTACATCTTCCACGGATCCGCCGACGGCATCAATACCAAACCAGCTCAGGTTAGACACTCTCCAATTTCGGTCTCTCTCCGTTTTCTCTTCTGTCAGCCATTTAATGGAAAACGTCAGAGAGAAAGTACTTGGATCAATTAATGGTGGAACTGAAAGGAATAAATAGCACTATGAGCATTTTCCAGGGTTAATCGGTTTAAAAGGTTTTCCATTTTCAGGATGAAACATTGGTGGAAAAAAAAATAGACATATTTTAACATCTGAATGTACTTTGGTTTTGACATTCATCTGATGTAACTTTTTACTACCAAAATTAGGGTTGGGTATCGTTTGAATTTGAACGATTCTGATTCCGATTCCGATTCCTTGTTTCGATTCCGGTTCCTAACGATTCTCGATTTCGATTCTTTTAAGAGGCAGGGTCAAAAAAAGTTTAGCTAACCTTGTTAACCAACGGTCTTTCTGAAGGAAATACTCCTTCTGTCACAAATACTTGTCACGAATTTTGCATTTTGCCGAGATTTCGTTAATTTTTAGAAAAGTGAAGCCACACTTTGGACCGCCGACGTAAGCTACTCATGTTCGACTCGCGTGGTTATGCCAACACTTCCGGTAGACGCTTCTTCGTTGGTGTTGTCCAGCGGTTTCTTCTTCCGCTCGGCGGACTGTGAATATTGAAACTAGGAATTGAAATTTTAACTTTTGAACGATTCCGGGAAAATGAAAAGTTAGTCCCGGTTCCAATCGATACTCGATTCTCGATACCCAACCCTAACCAAAATATGGTGTGTTATTTGCTGTTAAACAAACTAATAAAGCCTTTATCAATGTTATCTTGCAGATACTGGAGGGTAAACAGCACAATATTAAGATGTTTGGCTATTCTCTGGCCGGAAATATGGACCTGGATCAGAACTCGTACCCTGATCTCGCCGTTGGGTCGCTCTCTGACACCGTTTTTATTTACAGGTGCTGATAGGTCACTTCTAATGTCAAAGTCGTTACATGAAGATTTTTGAGATGCTATAACAACATCCGTTTGTGTTCAGGTCCAAAACTGTGATTAGCATCAAGCAAGACATCAAGGTGACACCGAAGGAAATTGACTTGATGAAGAAAACGTGTGGCAACAGTATTTGGTGAGATACTGACAAAACGAGAACTTAGAAAGCATCGCATACATTTTGAAGTCTGTCCTGTGTGAAGATAATTATGTGTTTCTTTACAGCTTGACCGTGGAAGCTTGTTTCACATATAGAGCAAACCCTCACACCTACAACCCTAAGATCAGTAAGTCTGTTTACGCTCTTATAATGAGAAACTTTTATTATCTATTACAGTTTTTTTATTGTTTAGTCTAAAGGGCCGTTCACACCAAGGACGATAACTATAACTATAAAGTTGGAATCAGTCTACAACTATGTTTTTTACTCTGATGAACCATAAAAACATTGGCAGTCAATCAGAAATCAAAGGGACTTTAAAGAGCATTTAAAGCGGTACAGCACGCTTATACTGTAATTGACAGAACTTTATCGTCCATTGGTGTGGACACTGATATAGTTATCATTTTCTTTATAGTTTTTGTTCGTAGAATGAATGGGCCTCCAAGACAATCATTCAGTAGTCAATCATTCTATCCCTTAAAACTCATCTTTGATCACCAAAATGGCATATTTAAAAGTTTTTTTCTTAAAAAAAAGTCTTCATGCCTTAAAATATATTTGAATGTAACTCTACATCCTTGCCTCATTAAGTATACGCAGTTTTATGAATATGCAAATGAGCCCCGCCTCCACTCACTCCAGCTCAGAGATCCACTCGTTGACGATCACACGTTGACCTGGGGTGCGTTTCCCGAAAGCATCGTTAGCCAACTATGGTCGCAAGTTCCCTCGTTATCAGCATAGTTCAACGATTTGGTGTTTCCCGAAACCATCGTTCCAACGAACATTCGCAAACAGCATCGCAAAGTTGTGTGGTTTGAACGACAGCTCTCGACCTGTGGTTAGAAGCATTGTTTCTATATTGCAACACATTTGGAGGTAATAAATCCTTATCTTGAGCATAATAAGCAAGCTGACATTCAGTACAACCGGTGCCTTTTATTTAGAATACATACAAATGGAATTTACGTCTTTTAGTTTGTCAAGAGATTTGAAGTAACGTTTTTGAAAAGTGCGCATGTGCGAACGCGCTCCACTATGTAAGAACGAGCCAAATATTGAGTCTGGTAATAAAGCAAAACAACTGAGAACAATTATAAATAGTCCTCAGATGACATGTCTGTAATTTATATTAAAAAAAATCTAGCGTTAATTGGATCTCAAACAGTTTCATTAAAAGTAGTTATTACTCCACCTCGTGCGAAACCAACGTGGTTGAACGATACTTTGCGACAGTGGGTTTCGGGAAACAGTCGTGACTAGCTAGTTGATTTTTCCAGCGATGCATCGTACTATGGTAGTGAAGCAGTGAACTACCTCGTTGTATGGGAAACGCACCCCTGATTGGTTACAAGGTAGTTTGTGACGTCAGAAACACCCGCGATTTCAAACTGTGTTTTTGAGACTGTCTTTGGTTCCCTGCAGTTTGAAAGAGAAGCTTATGAATTTACACAAGGTTTGTCTTAAAGCATATTAAATACACCACATAGGCATATAAACAACATTAAAAGCTTGGATTTTCACCACAGGGGGACTTTAAGATTTAATCCAATTGTATTCTTTGTTAATAATGCTGTTATAGAAGACAATATATGCTCACTGGAGTAAATAAGTGCATTTCTTTGTTCTGAGGTCTAAAGGTTCACACATCCTAAATCAGATTTTGTTTGTTTTCCAGCCATTTCCTGTACATTGGAGGCAGAGTGGTACCGCAGGAAGCTGGGTCTCCCATCTAGAGTTGTGTTTCTGGAGAAGAACGAGATGGATCAGGACTTCCAGTCGACCGGCACTCTGGAGCTACGAGGACAAAACAAAAAAGCTTGTTACAAGAGCAAACTCAGATTACAAGTAAATAAAGCTTTGAAGTCGTAGTGATAGACATTTTCTTCCGTATTGTGACGTATATCCGAGTTTAACAGATTTTTCGGAAAACTAAAAATGTGGGTATAGGGCGCTTGGTTCAACGGTGTGAGCGACATCGTTTTCAAGTAAAAATGTAAAACTCTTAATGCGTTTTAGCCGTTCATTTATACGACAACAGCGTTTTGGGTTCCTGAAAACGCAAACTTTTGAAAAGTTCACGTTTTTGAAAACGGTCTCCATGGAAACAACAAAAGCACGAATCTCTGAAGACGATGACATCATGCACATGCATATTACGTGTTCAGTCTATATTGTTTCATCGCCATCTAATGGCCTGGCAGCAGAATACACCGTTTTTAGTCGTTTTCACAGATTCGTGTGAATGGGGATCGTTTTGACAATGGTGTCGTCATTCGTGGAAAACTCAAAGAGAAAAACTTTTCCGTTTTAAGCACACTGTATGATTTTGACCATGATTTAGCTGTCTGAGACTAATTTATTAAATTCTAAAAGATTTTTCAGATCCTAGGCTAAAATCGGAAGTCTTTGATCGCTAGTTTGACATTCACCGACAACCGATTAGTAACTATTGCTATCAAATTTGACCTTGATTTTATGCACAGTTTAACTCAACTAGCCTGACCGCGTCGTCTGACTTCATACAAGCGCCCCGCCGCGAGAAAGAAAACACTTTTCAATTATGCCATTCCAGACTCTGTCTACGAAGCAAAGCAAAGTAGCAGAGTTTGGTATTACCAGGCTATAGCTCAACCAGCGCAGTCTCATCCCAAGACGTCATACAACTGACGCTTTTGACCATACGTCAACATTCGCCTTTTTAGGGTACCCTTAAACGTCGGTTAGATGACGTTATCGAATCCTAACCCTACCCCAGACCTAAACCTACCCCGTCACCTAACCGACGTTAAAGGTAAAGCCTCAGTTGTATGACGCCCCAGGATCGTCATCTAACCGACGTTTAAGGGTATCCTAAAAAGGCGAATGTTGACGTATGGTCAAAAGCGTGTTATATGACGTCTTGGGATGAGACTGTGTTAGCTCAACCAGGCCTTGTCCTCAATACATGTTGACTGAGTGGGATCTGCTGTGCTCTGGTTTTCAGGAAGGCATCAGGGATAAGCTCAGAGCGATTCCTATCGAGGTGTCTGTGGCCATTCAGAGTGCTAAGAGAGGCAAACGGCAGAGCTCGCTGCCACAACTAGTGCCAATACTGGACTCCACTGTGCCCAACAAGACCATCACTGAGGTATACTCGCAGTTTACAGCACAGGAATCTAATGAAGATCACTGGCGTGAGGAGTAATGCGAGTGGCCTTAGCTTTTGGTGCAACCAATCGTAGAACAAGTACCACATTTTTTGGACAATAATGTTGTTCCAGGATCAACAAAATATGTCAATCCAGGAACATGTCTTACTTTGCAAAATCACAGTGATCTCCTTGGTCAACCTCTTTGGTTATCCTGGAACAACAAACCAATCAACCAATCAGATTTGAGGGATAGGTTTATAGTTTATTTCAAGTTTAGACTTACAACCACAGTTAGGTGGTTCTACATCAGTGTTATTAACCTGTCATCATTTCCCTCTGATTTTAGGGATAAGTTATGAGTTAATGTAAGGACTAAAGTTTCAGACAAAATATGTTGACCCAGGAATGCGACTAACTCGGCAAAACCAGAACGTCCTGACCGAACCGAGTTCTAGTCCACCTTTTTCCGAACTCCTTCCTTTTTCCATCATAAATCAATTCAGAGGTGTTTATTTGAAATAAAAATAAAGAAAATGTTCTAAAAGTGGAAGGGAATGTGTTTATAGGATTTGGCACAGGGACAAATAAAGTCCCAATAAAGAAGCATCCATTTTTTCAGACATTGAATATGTTATTATTGCATAGTGATTTATAATGTACTACAGTACAATGCAATAGATCTGCCGCTTTTTGCATAAATAGCTGTTAGAATAAATAGCATAATTCACTTTAGGTATAAATGGCATCTAACTACTATTTACACTATAGTGCAAATAAGATGCTATTTTCCTGTAGTGTAAATCGGATCTATCATTAATTTTGCACTTAGTGGCAGATATTATTTGCACCTCAGTGTATTACCTTTGCCAGTGTATAACTTATCAAATAGTACTTTTTATTACTGATATAATTTAATTTAATATAGTAAATGCAATATTATATAATTAATGTCAACAAAACGTTTCGCATAGACAAAAATTGTTAAAGGCTGATAAATGAAGTGATATAACAAACCTAGACTTGTTTCCTGGTCTATAGGTGAACTTCCTGAAGGAGGGTTGTGGCACGGACAACATCTGTCAGAGTAACCTACATCTGCAGTACAGGTTCTGCTACAGGGAGTCCAAACAAGATGTGTTCCCTCCTCTACCGCTGTGTGTACCAGCAATAAACCCAACACACACTAGCTCTCTTTACATCTACATATAGAAATATGGGTCCCACTTTATATTAAGTGGCTTTAAGTACTAGTTAATTACATTGAAATTAATAATTCGATACAATGGACTTATTGTGTACACTACATACATGTTTTTACACTGTACTTACATTTTAAAATTCCAGCATGTAATTCCAGCTACAATTAATTTATGTAATTACATGTGTAATTACACAGTTGACCCTCCCCTCACACCTTAACCTACCCTTAAACCGACCCATACCACCACACTTGTCCCTAACCTTACCCGTATCATACCTCAATAGCAGCGAAAGTGTTTTACAATACAACAGGAACTCAATAATACATTGTACTTATTGTTCAATGTAATTACATAGTACTTAAAGCCACTTAATATAAAGTGGGACCGAAATATGAACTGATCAAGTGGAAATTGAGAAATCTTAATAATGTATCAAATTACAATACATATAATTAGATTGTTTAATGCATTAAATGACGGTTGCACTTTATTTCGATAGTCGCTTTAGACGTTCTACTAATTATAAGTAACTTTTCAACTACATGTCAAGTAACTCTCATTGGAGTATTAGTATATTATAGTAGACCGTCAGGTTATGGTTAGGTGTTAGGCTTTGGGTTTGGAGAATAAGTTTACTTGTAGTCGCCAAGTTACTTATAGTTAGTTAAATGTCTGTTCGGTGACCAACAAAATAAAGTGTTAGCAGATATTAAGCTGACAGTCTACTTATAGACCATTTCACAAGATGTAAACAACACTGGTCCAGAAGCACTTCCTGTTTCAGTTTTTTAACACTGGGATAAAATACAACCAACAGAACATTTAAAACTGAATCAAAAAGTTAAACAAACATCTTTATGATGTTTTCTTTACATGTGAAATAAAGAAAACAGTTACAAACTGAAACAGGGAGTGCTTCTGGACCAGTGTTGTTTACATCTTGTGAAATGGTCTATAGTCTAATGAGAGTTAGTTGACATGTAGTTGCAAAGTTACTTATAGTTAGTAGAATGTCTAAAGTGGACTACCGAAATAAAGTGTTACCTAAATGACAACTGACTCCGTGAAATTCAAAGTGATTGATTGCCTGTCATTTAAGGAACATATATCAGTATAAAAGGTGTCTTTGTTGGTGTGCAGTGTGTTAATTGCTCAAATCCGTCCCTCAGGGAGAATGGTGTGCCAGTGATTTCTCTGAGTGATCAGAAGGACATTGCTCTGGAGGTCACAGTGAGGAACAGAAATGGAGATGATGCTCATGAAGCCAAATTGGTGGCTCAGTTTGATGAATCTCTCTCATACTCTGGATTCAGATCTCTGAGAACTACTGTAAGTGTAACTGCACTCTCACGCTAATGTTTTGTAAATCTGGTCAACAAATGGGAATTGGGCATCAAGACCTGCAGTGTAAATGATTAACCCAGTGGTCTGATGTCATGTGACCAAACCTCTGTCATCCTGTAGGACAAACACGTGATCTGTGCTGCCAATCAGAATGGCTCTCTGGCAGACTGTGAGCTGGGAAACCCTTTTAAACGGGATTCAGAGGTCAGTAACGCTTCAACGATGCCGTATTAATCTTTTTCATGAATTGTCATTTTAATAAAAATGATTGTTGTGTAGGTAAAATTCTACATCATATTGAGCACTGGCAACATATCACTCGACACCAAAGAAGTTGAGATCGACCTTCAGCTGGAAACGTATGAAATATTCCAAATGTCAAAACCACTCTTGATTTGATATATGAACTAATTGTATGATGATGTTTACCATATACACATACAGAACGAGTTCACAGGAGGGCCTGAGCAAAGTGAAGGCCAAAGCCAAAGTGGTGATTGAACTTCTTCTTTCTGTACAAGGGTGCGTATCATCACTTTATTTATGCGGGATCGTTGCAAATCTAAGCACAGTTTGAGACATTTTTCGAGATGTTTAGGGTCTTTTTTCATCAGTAACAGAAGCAGCAGATGTGAGCAGAGACATTAGATGTTTTCTGACATCCATTTGCATTTTAAAGTAACATTAAACATGTTGCACCATTGCAGAGCCGCTGGGACTCTTATGTTTAAAGGATCACTTTAAAAAAAAAAAAAAAAAACTTTTGCTGATAATTTACTCACCCCCATGTCATCTAAGATATCCATGTCTTTCTTTCTTCAGTTGAAAAGAAATGAAGGTTTTTGATGGAAACATTCCAGGATTTTTCTCCATATAATGGATTTCAATGGGAACCAAACGGTTCAAGGTCCAAATGAGAGTTTCAGTGCAGCTTCAAAGGGCTTTAAACGACACCAGATGATGAATAAGGGTCTTATCTAGCGAAACAATCGATTTAATTCATTGAATGAACCAAATGACTCGAAAAAAGATTTGACACCCTAAAACTTAAACTTTTTATTTGTTTTTTAAATGAGCAATCGTTTCGCTATATAAGACACTTAATCATCATCTGGTGTCGTTTAAGGCCCTGTGAAGCTGCACTGAAACTCTCATTTGGACCTTGAACCGTTTGGTTCCCATTGAAGTCCATTATATGGAGAAAATCCTGGAATGTTTTCATCAAAAACCTTAATTTCTTTTCAACTGAAGAAAGAAAGACATGGACATCTTGGATGACATGGGGGTGAGTAAATTATCAGCAAATTTTTTTTTTTTTTAAAGTGAACTACTCCTTTAAGGGTCAAGGCTTCTGATACAACGGCAAAGTCTCAAGCAGGGGTTACCATGAAATTGTAGAAATACATAAATCAATATATCAGCACTGTACTCTTGAGAAAAGCACTTAACCCCAGGTTAAAAGCAGCTGATAATAACTACTAGTGTACTGTATCTATGCACTCATATACTTAGTAGAATGACTCCCCTGAAAAAGAACACGTTAAAATTACAGAAATAATATACTTTAAAAGAATATACTTAAGTGTAAACTGAATTATAATTATGTATTATAGATTGTATTTACATTAAATATAATTAGCTGAACTTTAGAGTGTAATTTCATAATTACCTCTGTTGTAATACAGTAAATAAACAGGCATTTATGGCAAAGTATGTCCTTATTGAAAGTTGCCATATTTTGTACATATCTGTAATGATGAAGTTTCAATTTAGTACATTTAAAATATATCGACTTTAAATGTAAAATCAAATAACACACTAAGGTTAAAATTATAATTAAGTACTTTACATTTGCTTTGGTATGTTAGTCAACTCATCAAAATAAGTACTTTAAAACTTCACAAAAGATCATGGTTATAAGACGCACTTAAAAGTGCACTTAATTGTTAAGAGACAATCATGAAAGTGTACTCTCTTTAAGTACACTTAAGTGTCCATTTATTTTATTGCAAGTTTTTTTATTTCTTAATACACATTTTAAAGGGTTAGTTCACCCAAAAATGAAAATTCTGTCAGTATTTACTCACCCTCATGTTGTTTCAACCCCGTAAGATCTTCGTTCATCTTCGGAACACAAATTAAGATATTTAAGATATTAAGATCGCTCCTGCATACAGTCCATAGGCTTCTTGAGGGACTGGCTCTTGCTGTCCTCGAAAAGTCATTAAAGACATCGTTAAAATAGTCCAAGTGACTACAGGGGCTCAATCTTAAGTTTATCAAACGACGAGAACACTTTTGTGCGCAAAAAAACAACAAAAATAACGACTTTATTTCAACTATTCGTTTATTTCTCCCTCTGCGCGAGTCAGGTTACTAGTTTAATAGCGTAAGCTTCTGTTATTGTACGTCACACGCATCACACACACATGACCCGCGTCGGCCAATAGTGAGCCTACGTGTGACGTAGCTATACGCAATCACACTACGTTAACTGACTTACAGGCTCATGGAGAAGGAAGTGAATAGTTGAAATAAAGTCGTTATTTTTGTTGTTTTTTTGCGCACAAAAGTGTTCTCGTCGTTTGATAAACTTAAGATTGAGCCCCTGTAGTCACTTGGACTATTTTAACGATGTCTTTAATGACTTTTCGGGGACAGCAAGAGCCAGTCCCTCAAGAAGCCCACGGACTGTATGCAGGAGCGATCTTAATATCTTAAATATCTTAATTTGTGTTCCGAAGATGAACGAAGATCTTACGGGGTTGAAACAACATGAGGGTGAGTAAATACTGACAGAATTTTCATTTTTGGGTGAACTAACCCTTTAAGTACACAAGTGCAACACAAATCAGCACCCTTAGTTGTTGTGCTACGTCCTATCACATGTCAGCAGGCGTGTTGTACAGTATCTGACTGCTGTCTGTCTGTTGTGTATCAGGGTTGCCAAACCGTCTCAGGTCTATTTTGGAGGTCAAATCAGAGGCATGAGTGCCATGAAGACGGAGGAGGAAGTCGGCAGCTTGGTCGAATATGAATTCAGAGTAAATGCCAAAATAACTTTCATGAATTATACACCTTTTTAGATATCATTTTTTGCAAAGCACTACTTCTAGCCTAAGATTTGTTCTTGTTTTTATCTTGTTTTGCAGGTGATTAATTTGGGAAAGCCTCTGAAGTCTTTTGGCACTGCATCTTTAAACATCCAGTGGCCTAAAGAAAGTTCTGTGGGGAAATGGCTGCTGTATCTGATGAAGATCAACACCAAGGGCCTGCAGTTAGTCACCTGTTCCCCGGAGAGAGAGATAAACCCTCTCAGACTGAGTGAGGTACCAAATATATTCCTGTCTTAGTTTACATCTGACGCAGACAGCAACATAACGTCGGCCCACATCTGGTACACATATTCTAATTTTTTTTTTTTTTTTTTGCAATTTTTTGAGAGATTTTTATTTTTTAAATTACTAGATTTATACATAATATATAAATGGTAATTTAAGCACATTCAACACATTCTTTCAATTTACATTCAAAGTAACTCACAATTACATGCATAACCTTTTTAATTCAGCTCAAAATATATTACATTGAGTCTTTGTATGGCAAGCCGTTTTAACATTCATTTGCTACTAGTGCTTATTCATTAGATACTAGTACTTATTCCAAATGTTACTAGCAAGAATTTTTATTTTACTAGTAAGATTTTTAATTGAACTATACAGTGGCTGTTCTGACTAGTCATAACATAAGTCTAGTAAAAAAAAAAAAAAAATTGTTACTAGTAAGAATTACAAAAGATACTAGTGTCCAATAGGTACTGGTATCTAATAAATAAGGACTAGTATCTAATGAATAAGTACTAGTATCTAATGAAAAGGCACTAGTACCTAAAGAATAAGCACTAGTAGCTAATAAATAAGTACTAGTACTGAATGAAATAGATACTAGTATGTTAAATATGTAAAATAGATACTAAAAGTAGGTTAAATTGATTAAAAGTTAAAACAGCTTGCCATAGTCTTTATCTTTTCAGAGCTCTTGTGGGGAAAAAAAAATAAAAAAATAACATGATATCTCATGATTCTTTCCACTAGATGGCCGTGGTTCAATTGAGACTAAAATCCTAGGGTCTTGGACCCCTCTGATGAACACTTGATTTAAAAAAAAAAAGTTTTAAAAAATGCGTTTTGGGTCAAAATGACCCCTAATAAAAAAAAAAAAATGCGACATCAAGGAAACATTTTTAGGAGTTAACCTTTCTGGCTGAGATTGATGCTAAAAACATGGACAAATAGTAGACACATCTGTGACTCTTTTAGGAGTCGACGTCAGCCAGGAGAAAGCGTGAGCTGGAGGAGAGGAGACCATCTGACGGGAGTAAAACATCCCTCTTCACTGACAAACGCAAGCACAAGATTCTGGTAATGAGATTTAGTCATTTATATTTGTAGTGAACTTTAATTTTAGGAATGATTGGACCAAAACAACTTTATTATTTCTCACAGTCGTGCAGTGGTGATGCCAGATGTGTGGAGATGAAATGCCCCCTACAGGGCTTGGACAGCACTGCAGTCATCGTTTTAAAATCCCGGCTGTGGAATTCCACTTTCCTTGAAGTAAGGATAACGGCGAGGGCTTATTTAGTTCTCTTGAAACAATGCCTGAGGTTGTTAACGCAATCTGTATTGTTTTCTTCTCAACAACAGGATTATGCGTCCTACAATTACCTTGATTTAATAGTGAAAGCCTCCATAAGTCTGGATGTCTCCGCCAATAACATTGTCCTTAAAAATGCTGAGACCCAGGTAACACAGTTTCCTAAAGTGTAACACAATGAAGTCTGTGACATTAAAGACATTGAACACCTGTACGTCTGATTCCCAGGTGAGGCTGACCGTGTTCCCGGAGACGACAGTGACTCCGTTCGGAGGAGTTCCCTGGTGGATCATTCTCGTGGCTGTTTTAGCTGGGATTCTGATGCTGGCTCTCCTAGTTCTGTTACTCTGGAAGGTAATAAAACACTCACACACACAAACATAAAGCTAACAAAAAGCCCAACGGCATCAGCCACATGGATAAGAGTTCCTTAAGGAGGAATTTCTGGTTAAAAGCTCATACTGTATGTGGACTTCTCTGTTCTGAATTTGGTTTGGTTTTCTAATACACATTATTTATTCTGGTATTTACAATTTTAATGGCCCTAAAAAAAATGTGGAGACTTTAGACCCGTTCACACCAAAGACGATAACTATAAATAGTGCGATAAAGATATAGTTCTAAAAATCATTCTCAATATTAAAGGGATACTTCACCTCTGGAAAGATGAATGTGTATAAAAAATGGGTCATTTATGTAGAAGAAATGTGAAATTATTTTTGATTTCGATGAACCAATAGCAGCCTTCAAATACGTGAGCAGAAGTTGTGTTGAAATGTAGTGAATTTCAGTTTATCCTTCATTCTAACTTCTTTTGCCTCACGTTACTAACGGTAAAAATACGTTTCCATTTAACCCTCTGATGGTCTTCGGTCAGAAGTGACTGGACACCTAAAAATGAAACTTCCTCCATCCCAGTAAAAACCAATGCAATTTATTTTTGTTCTATAATATTTATTCTTTTTAATTTAGTGTTTTGATACAATTTGATTGAATTTATTAATATTTTTGCAATATTCATGGCCTATTTTTGCCATTTATTTATTTTTTTTCCGTATTTTTTTACGACCACTTAGCATGCTCGGATCATGAACTCAATTATTTTTTGTATTCACATCCCTAATGCCAGAAATGTCACCAAGTTTCGTAACATTCAGATGAAGCTGTGATTTTTAAAAATTCAAAACAGATTTTTTGTAATCTGAATTTATTGGTTTGTATGTGTATAAAAGTGTGTTTGTGTGTGTGTGTGTGTGTGTGTGGGTGGGTGTGAATTTTTTGCACTCTTGATGTTGTAGAGTGTCACCCCTTTACTGCGGTGTATTTTCTTTTAGAATCGTGGCCGATTTGTAGATTGTACAATTTTTTTTTTTTTTGTAAATTTCCCATTCATTTCCTATGGGTCGGTCATTTTTGACTGAAGACCACGAGTGTGACTATTTTTTTTATGACCACTAAGCATGCTTGGATCATGACCTCAATTTTTTTTTTATTCACATACCAAATGCCAGAAAAGTCACCTAGTATCATGACCTTCCGATGAAGCTGTGATTTTTAATAATTCAAAACAGAAAATTATTCGGTCAGAAATGTCCATCTGAGCGTTAATACGATACTTGATCATGAATAACATTAAGTGTATTTATATATAAATAACATTCAGAAACTATATTTAAAATTAAATTAATAAGGATCAATAAATAAATATTGCTACAAAAAAGCAAGAAATAACGTATTGATTATGACTGATATTTGACATGCATGGACCGATGCACACAGCGGCACTGTTAAGGACGAGCCACTAACAAAGTAATCTTTTCACATAATGTTCTCTCTCCTAAAGTGTGGCGAGTGTAAATGTCAGAATTATATGTCTAAAGAATGGAAGTCTGTCCGGCTTATTGATGCAGTTCATCTATCTGATATTTTATTCCAACCGTTACTCCTGAGCCGGCGTAAATATTTAGTTGCAACATGACATCATGACTTTTGCGTAAACATACACGTCACTTTCGAGTCAAGTGCCGTGTTATCTCTACGCATTTTGAGCTATCCACGTGTATGCGTGTATGTCTACGCCATTAACGTTCGCGTCATTCCGCGTGTCCGTACACGCCGTCAAATCTCCAGTCATAAATGCCATTAACCCCAGTGACGGTTAGGTTTAGGGACGGGGTTGAGGTAAGTCATATATTTATATAACGTTAAGTCAACGGCGTTCATAAACACGCTGAAAAGCGATTATGCGTCTTGATAGCACGCCAAAAATGGAATTACGAATTGGCGTGTCATACACACGCTACTTCATGAGATCAGTCTGTTAGTTGGAATATAGAGTTACAACGTTAAAATCTTTAGTAGTGCGTAAGTTTTAAACTAGTTACGTCAAAACTAGGCTGAGTTGTAACTTCCACACAGCTGGTGCAACTGGGAGATTGGGACACTTCAGGTTTTACTGCCCTAAATGCTTTTGTGGCCACTGCATATGAATTAATTTGTCTTTTGTCTTCAGTACAAGCCTTCTCATGACATGTTTGCAATGACCCGTGAATTTGCCCCCTCTGTAGTGCGGTTTCTTCAAGCGGGCCAAGAAGGACGAGTACGATGCCGCAATTCACAAAGCTGAGATTCACACTCAGCCCTCAGACAAACTGTCCACTGAGGCCTAGCTCTCCTCACCAGGGTAAAGCACGATCGCTGCAGCAGATTGGTGTCTGCATGACGTGTGGCCTAACTTACTAACTCATCCTTTGCTCTGACAAAAGGAAGGGAAAGACTCACGCGTGCTTCGCTCTTTCCGTGTGAAGCTCAGTTTGTTTCGTATTGTGTCGATGGATGTGCTTCTACGTGTCCTGTTGTGTCAAGCATGTCCCGTCTCTCAGTGTTCTCCAAAGCATACACACAGAGTGGTTTTTAAATGTGCCCGTTTTTAAAACGATGCTTTTCTTCTTTCTCTGTCAGTGTGGATTTTTCAAACGTTCCAAATATGAGGACAGCGTTCCGAAATATCATGCGGTGAGGATTCGTAAGGAGACGCGTCTCTTGAAAGACGGAAAGGTCATGTTGGATCCCTTTGAGAAGAAGCAATGGATGACCACATGGGATGAGAACGAAAGCTACTCTTGAGACTGTCTCTGCTTCTGATGTGGACAATGTGCATCATCAGGCGTCTACAGTTTCAGAGGAAGTCCGACAGTTTGACATGAAGATGCCTCTACACATCCATGTGTTTCTGGTAACTAAAGGGTACTGTTAACGCCTGGAAATCTCTAGGCTTTTTGTTTGCAATGGCACCCCTTAAAAAGTTTGTATATTTTTGGAAGACGCATGAGATGCCAAGAACGGATTGTCTTGATTTTCTTTGTAAATATTTTACAATGCAGTTTATTTATTTTGTCTTGTAATTTTGTACCAAGATGCCTACTGTGCATGAACTGCCCAAAGATTATTTTTCACGTCTTTCGTTAACTGTAAATTAGATTCAATGTTTTGAGGTCTGTCAGATGAATCTCAGGCGGGGAAATAAACGATTACTACTGAAAAATGTTGACGACCAAAAATATCAGTTATGCCACTGGAACGGTTATAAATATGAGCAAACTCATGACAACATGTCAGCATGGTATGATGACTATTATAGTGTCATTTTTCAACTCTAGAATCCTTACAAAACCATCCATTTGTTTGCCAATCAGAGGTCCGTTTCCCGAAAGCATCGTTAGCCAACTATGGTCGCAAGTTCTGTCGTTATCTGCATAGTTTAACAAGTCGGTGTTTCCCGAATTCGCAAACAGCATCGCAAAGTTGGGTGGTTTGAACGACAGCTCTCGACCTGTGGTTAGAGGCATCGTTTCTATATTGCATGACATTTGGAGGTATCCTTATCTTAAGCAAGCTGACATTCAGTACAAACGGTGCCTTTTATTTAGAATACATACAAATGTAATTTACGTCTTTTAGTTTTTCAAAAGATTTGAAGTAACGTGTTTGAAGCAACATGACATCATGACTTTTGCGTAAACATACACGCCACTTTCGAGTCAAGTGGCGTGTTATCTCTACGCATTTTGAGCTATCCGCGTGTATGTCTACGCCATTAACCCCAGTGATGGTTAAGTTTAGGGATGGGGTTGAGGTAAGTCATATCTTTTTTTTTACCTAGGATGGTAAGTGCATGTGCATGCTATTTGAGGTGGACCCCCTAAACCTGCATTATATGACTGATAGACAACACCGGTTTGACCAAAAAATGTCAAAATTGAAACTACTGCGGAAACAAAGACACCTACATCTTGAATGCTCTTGAGGTAAGATAAAACATACCAAAAATAAATTTCAAAGTGAACTATCCCTTTAATCTGTCTTTCACAGCGGAAAATACTGCGGTATTGGTGACGAAGTCAATTCCCCCTATAACTTCGCTCTCTCACACATTAAATACACTAACTTACTGCCTATCTTCATCTAACTGATGTTGCTGTACTGCCCCCACACCACAGTAGACACAATCTCAGCCATGAGTTGCACATATTTACTTGGAGATTCAAAAGCCTCTATAGACCAGTCCGGCTATGAGTAACCCACTTCTAGACAAAATAACCTTGAATTGGGTACATGTCGTTTGTGCCAAAATAACTTGCGAGATGAATGATATTCCATCATGTAAGCAAAGTCAACAGTGATTACAAGGTGTTTGGTTTCATTTCTTTGACATGTCCTATCACTTATAGTCAAAACTGATTCATTTGGCCAGGCAGCACATGCGATGGTTGATATCCCATTATGTTACCAATGTATATCTACAAGATGTAAGTGTGATTTCATGACGTGGTCAATCACAATTTAGCTATTAAATGGATATAAGACATCTTTTAAATGGCAAAATTGCTTGCTGGGTAGTGGCATGGACACTACTACGTTATGCCATCATCACATGAGGTAACAATGAATCCCAATTCTGTTGGTTCTTATCCGAAAAAAAAAATGACAGCATAGAGAGCAAAGCTGGAAGAAGTGTAGGAGAGATTGCTTGTAGAAGGTGTGAGGGGATGGGGTCTAGAGGGCAGGTGGTAGGATACTGGAGAGGAGAAGCTTAGATACTTCTTCCTCAGTTAGTGGATAGAAGGAGGAGAGAAGGTTGTTGGCTGTGGGAGAGGATAGTCTGGGTTTCTGTGTATGTGAAGCTGAGAACTGACTGCTGATAGTTGTAGTTTTGTTAGTGAAGACGTTAGCAAAATCATCAGCAGTTAGCGAGGAGGTGGGTGTTGGTGGAGGTGGACAGAGGAGAGTTTTAAATGTCTTGAACAGTGAACGTATGTTAGAGGCGCTGTTGATCTAGTTGTGGAAATATGAAGATTTTGCAACATGAACAGAGATTGATACCTACTGAGGTCAGATGTGTTTTTGATTTGCGCCATTTCCTGAGTTCAGTCCGGTGTTCACGAAGAACCTCAGATAACCATGGGTTGGAGGTAGTATCAATGTGGATTTTAATGGGAGTTATAAATGTAATAGCATGATATTCAAATGAGTTGTTATTGCACAGAGAAGGGAGGGTTGAGTATTTCCAATTGTTAGAAATGAGAAGACCAGTATAGTACCCCCACCCCTCCCCAACTGGCGAGGGGTGTGAGAACAAGAGTTGTTAGAGAGAGCAGAAGGGGTTGCTGAGTCTTCTGGACGGATCCAGGTCTCAGTCAAGACCAAGATATTAAGAGTAGAATGAGATGCAAAGGGTGGAATGAAGTCAGCTTTATTGATTGCTAATTGATAATTCCATAGTCCCATAAAAAGAGAGAGAGGTGAGGATGAGAGAATAGGGTGCAGATTATCAGATTTGCGCTGTCTTCTGTGCATGATGAGAGATTGTTGTCGAGAGACAACGGGTATTGAAAGCACATAATGATTAAGTGAAATAAGAAAAAGGTGGGAAAGGGTGAAGAAGATATTTAAGTGTCTAGCAGTTGTCCTTGATCGGTCTTCACACGAGGAGGCAGAACAGGAGAGATGAAAGCTTCCACTGACACTTCAGCGACAGTGCGCGCACGCTACCTAGATATACTGCTTTCAATTTCCTGAGTGAGAACAGCTGTGGCTGCCCTTGCATTGAGCACAGCAAAAGCAAATATCCCGAGAATGGGCGAAACCGAAACTAGCTGAAACTAGCTTAAAGGATTAGTTCACTTTTGAAAAAACTTTTGCTGATAATTTACTCACCCCCATGTCATCCAAGATGTCCATGTCTTTCTTTCCTCAGTCGAAAAGAAATTAAGGTTTTTGATGAAAACATTCCAGGATTTTTCTCCATATAATGGACTTCAATGGGAACCGGATGGTTCAAGGTCCAAAAGACAGTTAATAACTGTTTCAGATGCAGCTTCAAATGTCTTTAAACGACACCAGACGATGAATAAGGGTCTTGTCATGCGAAACGATCGGTTATTTCAAAGCTTATTCCAAAAATTTAACTTTTCTAAGGACCAATGCTAGCCTTGCTATAGTCTCTGAGGCGCGTTTGTAACGTCACGTAATACGTAATTACGTTCAAACGGTCACGGGCGACGTAGCCGGAAGTACAGAATCAAAATCGTCCAACATCGTTGTTTTTCCTTTTAATTCCTTTTTTTGTAAACGGTGTTTGAGTTAGTTTTCACGTTCAACCTATGCATTCAAATTGTATACACTGACTCTGTACTTTCGGCTACGTCGCCCGTGACCTTTTGAACGTAATACGTGACGTTGCAAACGCGCCTCACAGAATAGAGCAAGGCTAGCATTTGTCCTTAGAAAAGTTACATTTTTGGAATAAGTTTTGAAATAACCGATCGTTTCGCATGATAAGACCCTTATTCATCGTCTGATATCATTTAAAGACATTTGAAGCTGCATCTGAAACAGCTATTAACCGTCTTTTGATACTTGAACCATCCGGTTCCCATTGAAGTCCATTATATGGAGAAAAATCCTGGAATGTTTTCATCAAAAACCTAAATTTCTTTTCGACTGAGGAAAGAAAGACATGGACATCTTGGATGACATGGGGTGAGTAAATTATCAGCAAAGGTTTTTTCAAAAGTGAACTAATCCTTTAAGTGCTATAATAAAATACAGACTACAACCCTTTAGGCGCGCAGTGTAAATGAAAAAATAATGATAAAGATAAAATAAAGATAAAAATTACAAATAAGCAAAGAATCTAAAATAGCCCTACCTACTTGAGAAATAGTAAACAGAGCAAGAGGAGAACGTACTGGTTGCGCATACAACCCGTTCCCTGAAGGAGGCGTAGTCGACGGTCGACTGAATGGGGATCGCGTCAGAGAGCCTATGTTCTTCGAGTACTATTGAACGAGCCAACGTAATTGGCACACACTCCGCCCCCTGCGAGCGGGTATAAATACGAAAGTGGATGCATGCACTAGTTGCTTTTTTGCTGAGGAGCCCAGAGTAACCCGCAGTCAGCGGTGGTCCAGTGATAGTGGCAAGGGGACTACGTTCTCTGTTCCCTCTTTCACGGAACGGTGGGTTGCATACGCAACCAAGACGTTGCCTTTCAGTCGATAACCTTTGAAAATGACACTAAAGCTGCCACCTTCCAGTGCCTAGACAAAAGCCTCCTGATTCCCCCACAATTTTGAGGTGGGGAAGGACAGGGCTTAGGCCAGGAAAGTCACTGCTGTTCCAACAGGACCACTGGGAAAGTGTTCCCCGTACATTGGAAGGAAGGGGGGCTGCGGAAGCCACATCCAACCTAGAGGGAGGTAACGTGGAGAATACACATATGAACTGGCCGGAGACCGAGCAGTATGACATATGGAATGTCACTGGGATGGCTCCAGCCTATGACAGGGGGAGACTCACAGGACAGTGATGGCAGAGCAACACACACCGCAAACGGGCATAAGAGATTTCTGTTAAAACGGTGTCTTGTTAGCAGCCCCTAAGTTAATAACTACCCAGATAGCACAAGTACGTCTGCAAGATGTATTTTAAAGATCACTTCATCTGGAAAGGATCTGCTGTTTATTTACATCTGATAGACATCTTTAAGATGTCAGTTTCTACATCATTACATCTTAAAGACATCTTCTAAATGTCTATTTGACATCTGGCAGGAAACGTCCTATAGACTTGCAGATGAGCAAACACTCTAAAAAATATGTTTTCCAGATGTAAACACACACATCAAGTAGACGTCTCTGTGATGTACGTGTGCTATCGGGGTAATGAACTAATGATAACTTTATCTGTAAAATAACTTTATTCTAAAGCTATCATAAAGCCAAAACAATCTCTGTTACTTTAATTTCCTATTATCACTGTAAAGCAGCTTTGGAACAATCAAAATTGTTAAAAGTGCTATACAAACGAAGATGACTTGACCTAAATGCAAAACGTCTTTGGTTACTGGTGTAACCTATGTTCTCTGAATAGGGAACGAGACGCTGCGTAGCTTATGACGCAGTGGGAACGCCCACTGGGTGTGCCGATTGTCTGAAGCCCTTATAGAATCATGCCAATCCCATTGGCTGATGGCGCAGGTGC